TTATGCCACTGTTTGTAGTAATTTATGACAACAGCAGTAGAAATGTAACATAAGCCCTTTTGTTTACAACTGGGACTTAAGCATTCACACTGAGTGAGACAGGAAGCCATTGGAAGGACTTGGGCAGAGGAGTGACCTGATCTGACCTAACAGGGTCACTCTGGGTGCTGTGCTGAGACTAGCTCATCGTAGAAGCACTCCTTCTTCGAGATTTTGGCTCGATTTTTCCGTATTTATTGAGAGCTCATCAATTCATTTACATTTTAAAAAATGATTTCTCATTTTTTTAAGTCAAGGTCTCTCATGTTTTGTTGTCAGAAATGAAAGTCTGATCTATGCTTTAAAAGTCTAGGGAAAACTCATCAGAATTTAAAAAAAAAGTTACCAATTGCCAACACCCCACTATGTAAAATCAAGTGGCAGAGTTTGAGGCAGATTAATTTAGGTTGGTGAAAACTGGTAAAGATACTTTGAAGAATACTTAAAAGTTATTTTCCTTATAAGAGAGAATATAAACAATTTTCAGGTGACATAAAATGCTTCTTATGCACTTGTCCTTTTCAAGGCCAAAAAAAGGTAGTGGTGCCATTTTAAATTTGCCATCAGAATGAATTCAGTAGCCCTTTGTTACACTTGGCCCCACTCAGAGAACAACTTCGCTTAAAAATAAAGGTGTTCATAATAAAATAGTTTCAAAGAAAAGAGCCAATTTTTCCCCAAATGAATGAAGGTGTGAAATGTTACTTCAGCAATATTCACAACGGTGATAGAGATTGGGCTGTGGTGAGGTGGGTGGGGGTGCTGTGCACCTGTGTGTAAACCCTATCCTGCAAGAATTACCAGAGAAGCAGGAAGAAACAGCCATAAGAAAGACTAAGCTGTCAATATATCTAGGTGATAAGTTGATCCAAAATTTGAGAAGGCTGTTTTAAAATACTAAATGATCTGTTTAATGTCTTAACAGATGATAAACCTTTATTATATTGCTTGTTGCTTTACTCTAATGATTCCTCTATTATCATCTGTACTCCTTTATTATTATTTTAGACTTTACTGCCTCTTCACAAAGGGGAAGGGGAGAAAAATTTCACTTCTAAAATGACCGAGCTCTGCTCTAGACTATACCTGGTTCTCGGCAGCTAGGTTAAAATAGTTACAGAATGAGTTACTGGCTCAAACAAGGAGCAACAAGGTATTTTCTAACTCTATGAATGGTGTTCTCATAAAACATTCCATAGACAAACATTCTCAAAAACTTAAATTAACCTTTAATTATATACATGAGTGGAGAGGAATAGGTGCTATTAATAATTTAAAATAGCTAATTAAAATAATTTATATTTAGCTTTGGAGAGCCTTATAATTCCCTCCATAGTTTTTCTTTCCTAATTATGTTTTTCCTAAGCTAATCATAAAATTAATTTTCCATTCTTGAATGCAGAGTAACTGATTGGGGAAAGAGATGGTCCAGCATTTTGATGGGTGGAAGGGAGAAGCTGGTCTAGGACTAATTTGAATTTGGATAATTCCTATTTAAATATTTAGAAGTTGACTGTATTCTCAGGTCATCAATGTTTTTTTTTTTTTCATTTTTTTAAATTGAAGTATAGTTGGTTACAATGTGTCAATTTCTGGTGTGCAGCATAATGTCCCAGTCATGCATATATATACATATATTAGTTTTCATATTCTTTTTCATTAAAGGTTATTACAAGATATTGAATATCATTCCCTGTGCTATATAGAAGAAATTTGTTTTTTTATCTATCATCAGTGTTTTTGATCCAAGATTATCATATCACTACATCAGAGTCTTTTACTAGGGTTCCACGTCCCAGGCATTCCCCTCTCCATCTCTTCCATGGTTAAATAAACCAACCATCGCGTCCCCAGAGGTGAGGGTGGGGCTAGTCTCATTCAGATTTTACAGCTACTCATAAATGTTGGAGAGGCAACTGCGTTGTTCCCCACAGTTAGTTTAAGACACCGTGGTTCATATACATTTCTTTAGATATTGGTCTATAAAGAGATAAAACAAAAAGATTTTGTGGTGTGGTTGAAAAAACTGTAAGGTTGGTTCTGGTTCCACCCCTTGGTGTCAGTTTTGCCCACTGGTGTTTGCAATCCATGAGGTGCCCCTTGATCTTTTTGAGACTCAGTATCTTAGCAAGTTCAGAGGGAGTAATACTATTTGCCTTGCCTACTCCCTGCGATTGCTGTGAGCATCAAATCAGATAATACAGGTGAAAGCACTTGGAAATTTATAAAGCATTATACAAATGAAAGGTGTTGTCTGTTGCTTTAACACTCAGAATAATTAAGAGATTTAAAGAAATCCTACTGTGGTCATAAGGCAGATTAGGGTAAAAGAGTTGGTATAACTCAGTACTAATAAAAAATTTCCTTAAAGTCCACGCCAGGGGTATTATTTCTGTGAATTAACATAGCACATTTTTTCCTTTGTTTTCTGCGAAAGTTTTCTTTTGGAAGCCTCTGTGTACAGCTTCCAAGACTTCTGATTTGCTTCCTTTGGGTCCACCATCTACCATCTGCCCGTGTGCTTCTGAGCAGCCAGATTGCCTCTTGAAATCTGATCACCCCTAGTCACCGTTCAGAAGCCACACTTCTTTTTCAATTAGAAGGGCTGCTCTACCAAACAGTGAGCACCCTGTCCTCTTAAAAACCCACCAGCTCCTGTCTGGCAAGGCAGGAGTACACTATGGTGACAAAGAGGCAGGAGAGCTCTCTTTCTGCACTGATTCATAACACTGCAGATATATCCCAAGTGCGACTGAAAGTTACTTAAGGGTGAGGTTCATATCTTATACTTTAACTTTCAACGCAGAGCCTTACACAGTGTAGATACTCAGGAAATATCTGCTGAATTGATGTACTAAGAGATATACTAAGTAAATTGCTTTATCAAGGCTTTTAAGCCTAGATTATTGGGCTATTTATTTAGTTAAAGAATAAATATTCTACCTCTATATTTAAGTCTGGGGTTATAGTGAAGCAAAGTCCTGCTCTGAGTAGCACCCACCACTTGGCAGCTTCCTTGCTTTTTTCCTTATATGACTTACTCTTATACTCTGCTTAGGGCTGGGTTAGATAGAATGTAGGAATACGTATAAGACAAAGTAAGGAACTGAACTGTATGGAGAAAAAAAATCTAGTCCTTACTCTGGAGTTTAAAAGAATGGAAATGAGCCCAGTGATGACCTGTTTGAAATAATAAACATCTGTTAATATCTGAAATTCTATATTGTCATATCACTCTTTTCTTGCCATTAGAGATCTGGTAAGGGATTCTAGCAAATTGGAAGTAGTCAGCAAAGTCGAGGCATTTTATTTGATTCATGTGATCCATAATCAAACTGTATTTTTTCAGGGTATTCTTGTTGAAGGTGACTTGCATTTCATAATGTGTTCCCTTTTTAAACCTGCAATTACAACAGCAACATTTTCAAAAGAGAAAAAGTGCATCCCTCATTTCACCATTTGATACTATTTTAATTTTTACATTTGTCTCCCAATCTTTGTCCAAATGAAGACATGTTTTATGTATTTGTCTTTCTCCTGTGCATGCTATTTTTGTTTCTGAGTTGCCCTGGGAGGATTGTATCTGCCAGATGGGGGCTCAGAATTTCTGAATGGCTCTAAGAATCATAATCAATGTTGCTGTAGAAATTGACCAGAATTTGGTGTAACATTCCCTGGGGGGAGGTATGTCCTCAAATCTAGAAGGCTTGGGTGGGAGGCTGAAGCAGAATGGGACGTTGGGCTTTAAGAAAGAGAGCAGCAAATTCATTGGAAAAGGAATGAATATTAGGTTTTATAAGAAACGATGTAGGTAGATATTTAAGTAAAACAGTTTCAGTTGCCAGTGAGGTCTCTCTTCCCACCCAAATGAAACAAACAAGAAACAAAAAATGAAAACCCAACCAAAGTAATAACCACCACAATAAAAGCATCTCTAGTTAACACTAAAATAAAAGCATTACTGGTTAACAAATACTTGAAATTAGTTTCAGAAAATGATATTTAAACCAGTTTACAATGTTGTGTCCGTTTCTAGTGTACAGCTTAATGTTTCAGTCATACGTATACATCGATTCTTAATTTTGCCAGAGTCAGGTTCTTTCGGATTATTTAAGTTACAGAAGAGAGGATTGAGGGAAAATGAAATGGCCAAATAGAAATCATCTGAAAACTGCAACAGAAAAGATCTCGCTGGTTTGGACGCAGGCCAGGGTGAAGTTCGTTGTGGAGCTCTCTGGGGCTCAGGACTGACACCAACGGTCTGAGAAGCGCTTCCGGACAGGAGAGGAGCCCAGGCTGCGGGCGAGGACGCCGCCAGTCCCGGGTGCCCGGCGCTCGCGGAGGCGTGCGGGGAGCGGG